CCATTTAGGAGTATATCCTATGTGCCAAGTAATATATTAGACACTAGGTTTATAAACAGAAAGGAGATGATTTCTGACTTTAAGCAATCATCTAGAAGGAGCAGGCCAGAGGAGGAATAATGACATGTAAACAAACAAACCCAAACCCAAACATGTAGCAAAAAAAACAAAAACAAAAAACAAAAAGAAGAAGAAGAAGAAAGAAAGAAAGAAAACGAAAAAGACCTTCCAAAAGTCAGATCAAAGTGTTCAACTCAAGTGGAATTTTTGGGTAATTTCCCTACTTAATACTTTAAGCCTTGAACCCTGAAGTCTGTAACTTTTAGCAGAGATTTAAAAGATGAAGCATTTAGAAAACAGGATAATCTAAACTGAACCTACTGAATTATTTTGCCTAACCTCTAAACCCTAAGACAGGCTTCTCCACGTTCCTTGTAGTTTCCTACCTTATTCTTCTCCAGTGGTCAGTGGAATAAAATCACCCAGAATTTTTTACTGTTGAAAATAAGAATCTTTGATTCTCTTTTTGGAACCCTAACATATAACAACCAACATTTGTTTTGAATTTCACATTTTATCAAATACTTTCAGACATTTAGCAGGTCCTTTGTTCTTCACTGTGGAATATTATTGCCTTCATTTCATGAGTGGGAAAACTGAGGCTCCAAGAGGCTAAATAATTTTCACAAAAGTGAATAGTTAAAATTGGAGAACTGTGACCTTGGTCTCAATGGCCAGATCCAAGTCTCTTGTTACACAGTACCAAGTTCTACTGACTTTTGTCACCATGACTCTACCTTCTCTCCCTCCTTTTCTTTTCCATCTTCTATCTCTATTACAATAGTCCCCCTCCAGTTCCTACCATAGTGAGTCTTAATCACTTGGTAACACGGACCAATTGGAGTCACTCCAGTAGCATGTGTGCAAAGATTTTTCATCTAATTTGAAGCTCATTCACAGACTCTTGGATTAATAATTTTGCTTTACATCCTCAGATCAATCCTATATATCTCCCAATGACTCATCTTAAAACCCCTCTTAGATCACATTTCAAGGCTCAAAACCTTTAGTGGTTTCCCATCACCTAGTGAATGAAACAAAGCTTCACTATTCCGGCATTTCAGTCCTTTCCTGCTTCTCTCCCTCTCTCTCTTTAAAGTTTACTTATTTATTTTTGAGACAGCGTGTGTGAGAGTGAGGGGAGAGTCAGACAGAGAGAGAGAGAGAGAGAGAGAGAATCCCAAGCAGGCTCTTCACTGTCAGTGCAGAGCCCAATGTGGGGCTCAATCTCATGAAACATGAGATTGTGACATGAGATAAAATAAAGAGTTGGACATTTAACTGACTAAGCCACCCAGGAACCCCTGGGTCTTTCCTGCTTCTCTACTGTAAGTCCACTACCAAAACTCCAGATCACTATCTTAACTAATAACTCCCATCGTTCAAATATGTCTCCTGCTTCTTTCACCACTATTCTCTCAACATTAGATGGTTACCCAGCTCCAGTCTCTATCAATCCATGAATACAACCTCTTGTGCTTGGACACACTTCATAACAGAACTTAGTCTTCCTCCCACATACAGCCCATTCCATCTTTGAATTGTCCTAGTGTTAAGTAAATAAAAAATAAACAACTCTTTGGTTAAAATGAAAATTATATTTTCTCCCATTAACATCTGAAGTATCTGAAGCAACAGGTAACAAATATAATCTGATTCCACACAATCTCCCCTGTCTGTTTGCCTTCCCTGGTGTACCATGTCATTTTTTCATGATGTGGCCCCCAGAACTGAGCCAAGTTCTCTCTGTTTGATAGTGACAGTGCTTTTGTCTCTGACAATAGCTTGAGCATAGTAAGAATAGCTAGGCTCATCACTGCTTTGCCTTGACAATATTCTTTCAGTGCTGCTCAAAACTGATAAACTTTGTGAGCAACTGCATTACATCACTGACTTGTATTAAGGCTGCAGGACTCTAAAACCCATGCGGTCATTTTCACGTGTGCTACATTTAAGCCACATTTCCTGGAACTAAAGTCAGCATTTTACTTCCTTCTTATTCTGCACTGCTTGTTAGGATCAAACTATCAAGATCTTTTCCCATCATGTATCCTATCTTCCAATATGTGTCTCTCCCAATCTTCTGGCATCCAAAAATATAATTAATTTACCATCAGTGTCCTTTTTTAGTTTTGTGACTAATATGTTGAATAGGACATGGATAAGTATCCTACAAGCTCTATTACAGTCTTCCTCATCATCATTCTTCAAACATATCCAGATCATGTTCTGTTTTATCCACTAGGCAAGTGGGTCTTAACCTTTAGTGTTGAGAAGGATCATCAGAGATGCTTGATAAAAATGCCAACTCCTGAGGCTTGGCTCTAAAGATTCAGTAGATCTGGAGGAGGGGCCCAGGAATCTGAATTTTTAACAAGCTAAATGTATCTAATATTGTGGTGGAAAGACCACACTTTAAAAATTGTGCCCTGAATTTTTTTTTGATACTATTTTATCAGCAATATCAATATCAACCCTCTTCTGGGTTCCTATAGCTACACTGAAAATTCTTATCATAGCAATGATCCTTATCTGTCTTCTCTCCACTATATCCTATAGCATATTCCTGGGAATACTAAATTTTTGTTAAGTCAATGAATGAATATAATCTTTATTGTGTGTGCCGTTGATGTAACACATGAATGTATTAAACCCACTGATATATAGGTGAACTCTCAAACTCAATTATTATCCCAGAAATGACAAAGGCTATGTAAAATATAGATATGTGTCTTCTGCACACTTTACAAATGGAAGATTACTTCATAAATATTTACCAAAATAGATAAGAGGAAATGAATAGAGATCCTAGAAACAAAGATATATGAGAACTGAGCATACAAGATAATTGACATAAATCTTTGGGTAAAGAATGTAATGTTCATAACTAAGATTTAACTTAAAAAAAAGAAGAAAAAAAGAAAAAATAAAGCTCCATCATTAGATAGAAAAAAATATTTAAAGTTTTTTTAAAAAGAATGTAATGTTCAATACAAAGTGCTGGTAAACTAACTATCCATGAAAGTATAAAATGAGGCTCCTTTCTCATACTATGTATACAAAAAATAAACAGTAAACAGATTAAAAACCTAAACATGAACAAAATTATACATTTTCTTAGTGAAGAAGTAAGATAAAATCTTCATCATGTGGGGCTAGGAAAGGATATTTAAATTTTTTTTTAATATTTATTTTTGATAGAGACAGAACACAAGTGGGGGAGGGACAGAAAGAGAAGGAGACACAGAATCGGAAGTAGGCTCCAGGCTCCGAGCTCCGAGCTGTCAGCACAGAGCCTGTCGGGGGGGCTCGAACTCACAAACTGAGATCATGATCTGAGCCAAAGTCAGACAGTCAAATGAGTGAGCCACCCAGGTGCCCCTAGGAAAGGATATTTTAAATAAATATAAAAAATTATATCAAACTTAAAAAATTGACACATATTAAACATATTAAATGAAGATATTAAAATATCTTCATAAGAAAAAGATTTTAAACAAGTGGACAGGACATAACCCCAGACTGAGAAAAGGTATTTGTAACACCTAACAACAAAGACTCCGCACACAGAACAAATTTTTTAAATCAATTACAAAAAGACAATCCAATATTAAGATAAGCAAAGAATATGAACAAAGAAATTCATGAAAGAGGAAGACACTAATCAGGGAAGTGGAACTGAAAAGAAATCCAAAAAGTCTAAGATTGACAAAAACTAAAAATGTTGATAGATAATATCAAGTTGAAGTGGGGACTTGAGGAAATGGACTTACCTACTGCCATGATATAAATGGATGCAATTACTTTAGAAAATAAATTAATAGTGCTGAGTAAAACTGAATTGTGCCCATACTCTAGCAAAATGCTCCCACATATGTGTACCCAATGAGACATACAATAGATGTCTATTACAGCATTGTTTTTTCATAGTGAAAGAATTGAAACCAACTAACTATCCATTAGTAGGGGACTAAATAAATCGTGATTTAGCCTTACAATAGGAGTTAAAATTCACATGGTGGTTAAAGTGAACAAAACCATATGGATAAATTGTACATATATAGTGAAGCCTTGTATCACATATGGAAAAATATAAAACAAATTCTTGCTTGTAAGAATTTTTCAATGACATGTTATACATTTTATATAAGACTTTTTATTATGACCATTTTCAAATATACACAATTAGAATAGCACAGTGAAACTCCTGTATAATCACCTTGCTTCACTAATTATCAATATTTTGCCAAGGATTGGTATACATTTTTAAATCCCAAAATTCATGCTGAGGAAATGGCCATTAGTCAGGCCCACAAAAGAACACAGGACAAGAACAAAGGAGAGCCAGGTCCTAGTGCAGACACTGCCACCATGAGCAGTGTGACTCTGGCACACCATTTTTCTCTGTATGGCCTCCCCTCTCAACTGGGAAGACTTCAGACTGAAGTGATAAAATGTTTGGGAGATGAGGAAATAATCAGGATGCAACCTGGACTTTCTAGAAGGTACAAATAGAGAAATCTAAAAGACACGAAACACCAAGATCCAAAGGATCAAAAAACAATAAAAACTTCACTCCCTATCTTAGTATCCACTACTGGGTCATCTGAGATCTCCTCTAGGTCTACTGGGATATGATTTCACCCTCAGATAAGTTCTTGAGGGAAGCACTAACATAGTTGCCTCCCCTCCCAAAATGCATCTTCTCTTCCCCCAAATACAGAGTTTGCTTTAACACTGGCGTAGCAAGTAGCTTCCAGAGGGCTCTCGTTGCTCCTTCTGTTACCTCCCCCACCTCCACAGTGCCGTGGGCACAGGTAAAGAAGATTGGTAGCCTGGCTCTGTCACCCCAAGTTTCTAGTATGCTACGGAGCAGGAAGGAATTGGAAGAACTGTCAAATAAGAACCCAACGGACTTGTTTGGAAAGGTGGACACGTACCTCTTGAAGCAGTGTGCTGCTGTAAGGACCCAACAGCTACTCAAGAGTGTGGCCCCACAAAGGAGCCTGCCATCTCCATGGGATGACTTAAGCCGGAGGGACACTTGCCAAGGCCAACCACCCCTAAGAAGAAAGTAAACCACTTGAGTCCGTATAAGGGAGAAAAGCAAAGAAAAGCATCCATTAAGACAATGACTTGGAAGGCTTGCAGGTGGGAGGAAAGCCACATAAAAGGGACCCTAGCAGGTAAGATCTCTCCCTACTTTGAAAATGGTACCCCTACAACCTGGAGCAGACCACACTGAAGATCTGCTTATGGACATTTGTATGCATCCCACCCACCTCTGACACTCATGGAAAAAACTCCGTCTTCTCTATATTTCATTGCTTGAAGTGTATTTTCTCTCCTCACTACCTCACCTAAGCAGCCCGAAGAAGTATTTCATTAAGCAAAGTACTGGGTTTCCATTAGTAAACGCAACAAATAAAAAAAAAAATACATTTAAAAGAGTCAAGTCTAAAACAAATATATTCTAAATTAAATGAATTTTGTAGTTACATATTTTTCAGACCTCCTCTTAGTGAGATTCAACAATATAACTTTTCAGCAACGTATCTATTGTATAAATCAGGAGGTAGTGATCTAAGAACACAGTCTATATAAAGTAAATGTAGATTAAAAGAAAAAAAATGTAATCTGGATTTAATTTAGGAAATTAAGTAAGTAAAATAAATCCCTCATATCATAGTAGAAAAACCCCCAATTTGTAACACTGTATGTACATAAATAGTTTTGTAACATGTAAAATCTCTGAAGGACCTTTTACCTTAAAGAATTTTTCCCACCAATGATCCGCTTCTGCCGACGGTGCAGTAATCTCAAACCACAAACAGATGAGAGGGATTCTGAAGCAGACAGAGGTTATTAATCAGACTGTTGTATTGTTAACAGTGGGACAAAGACACAAGTGACACAGTCTCCTGCCGTTTCTTTCTCTATTTTAAAACATCTTTTCGGGGCGCCTGGGTGGCGCAGTCGGTTAGGCGTCCAACTTCAGCCAGGTCACGATCTCACGGTCTGTGAGTTCAAGCCCCGCGTCAGGCTCTGGGCTGATGGCTCAGAGCCTGGAGCCTGTTTCCGATTCTGTGTCTCCCTCTCTCTCTGCCCCTCCCCTGTTCATGCTCTGTCTCTCTCTGTCCCAAAAATAAATAAACATTGAAAAAAAAAATTTAAAACATCTTTTCTCCTCAAATTATAGGATACCTTCTCTTATAATAAAAATTAAAAGTTGGGGTGCCTGGGTGGCTCAGTTGGTTAAGCGACTAACTTTGGCTCAGGTCATGATCTCACGGTTCATGAGTTAGAGCCCCGTATTGGGCTCTGTGCTGACATCTCAGAGCCTGCAAGTTGCTTTGGATTCTGTGTCTCCCTGTCTCTCTGCCCCTCCCCCGCTTGTGCTCTGTCTCTCAAAAATAAACAAACATTAAAAAATTAAAAAAAAAAAAAAAAGAAAGAAAGAAAAGTCTTCTCATTTAGCCAAGGCAACAAGAATTCATAAGCAGACAAGGAACTTTATGAGGTTTCCCACATTCAGCTGTGACCCTGTCCAGCATGTCATCCCACAGGTGCCTACAGCCCTCCCTCTGCTGATTACAGAGACTGTTTCGGAGTGCAGGAACATTAAACAAAACAAGAGAATTGCAAAGGTAGTACAGGTCTAAGTAATTTGCTTTTCACATACAACACTTTCCAGGCCACTTATACAAAATGTAACTTAGAATGGGATTCTGATCTATATTTACATTTATATTTTACTCATATAGCATATTATTATATGGAAAGGGCTTACTAAACACACTAAGTGGCATTTTAGGTAATACAGTCAAATTTCCCAAGATAACAGACTCTCACAAAAGCATAAAAAAAGAATTAAGAACGAAAATATATGAAAAGGTGGTATACAAAAGAAAGTAAATAAAATAAAGTATAGCTATTTAAAAAAATTTTTTTAAATGTTTTTATTTATTTTTGAGACAGAGAGAGACAGAGCATGAGCAGGGAAGGGGCAGAGAGAGAGGGAGACACAGAATCTGAAGCAGGCTCCAGGCTCTGAGCTGTCAGCACAGAGCCCAACGTGGGGCTCGAACTCACAGACTGCAAGATCATGACCTGAACCGAAGTTGGACGCTCAACTGACTGAGCCACCCAGGTGCCCCAAAGTATAGCTATTTTAAAAATAATTTTAGAAGGAGGGGAATCTATACAGGGGTATTTTGTTTCTTTGGTTAAGTACATGTGTACCAAGTATAGATTGACACTTTTTCTATCTGTGTAAGAAGAGAAGGTGGGGAATTGTGCCAAGAGCATGAAAATCTAGTCTGCACTAATATTCCCCCATAATAACCAGGTAGAAGTGAGCTCAGTAGGGGATCAACACTAGTTATTTCTTCATGGAGAAAAAGGTTCAACAATGTTTACCAAGATCATTAATTTGCCAAGTGATCTCAGAGGCATGCTGTCAAACTTTAATTCTCATCTCTTAGGATATGAATCCTCTAGATGACACAGCAAATTATAAGACATTAGAAAAACATAAGTTTCAAATAATGGTCCAAGTCAGGTCAATGTATATAAGGCCAAGATAAAGAATGATGTAATACTGAGCAAGCAAAACTGAAAGTTTACATCATTCCAGGGCAAAGCACCAGATTGCAAAAGTGTAAAATCTAATAAGGCGTAAAATCCACGGCTACAAAAAAAAATTTTTTAAGCAAAATGAAATTCATTTATAAAAGGATCCCATCAGATGACCAATAACCAATGCCTTGAGTTTCAGTCCCCTTATAGAAGTCACTAGGTCTTGAGCCTCAATACAAAATCAGGGTTAACAAACCAAATTATGTAATCCAGCTTGTCTAAGAGGAAATATTTTTTTTAAGTTTACTTATTTATTTTGAGAGAAAGAGTGTGCGGGAGAGGCAGAAAGAGAGAATCCAAAGCAAAAACATTTTACAATTATTGAATTTTTATGTTTTTCTACCACTTAAGAAATTTGACATAATCCAAAGAATTAATTATATTCAATTTTTAACTATAGTTTAAATTACTGAAGGCACTTTAATAAGTTATAATTAATACTTGTATATAAGTATACTATTTAATAATATTAAACATACGATTTAGTAAGCCGATTATGTGTGTATGTGTGTGTGTGTGTGTGTGTGTGTGTGTGTGTGTATAAAACAAAGCACAAAAGGTTTTAAGTACTCTTCATACTCAAAAGCTCCTCAGACAGTGAAGAATCATATTAACAACATCCAGTTCATTTTTGCATGGTCTTTAGCAATTAAAAGATGTTAGAGGAAGAGAATGTTTAAATACAGATACACCTACTTTTCAGAAAATCCAATGATCAAAACTCTGAGCTTTCAAAACACATAAAGAGATCATTGTTCTATTCATAAAATGTAACCAGTTTTCTACAAAATAGCTACTTCTTTATTCTAAAGCAGTATTTGTTTCATAAAAGTTACACTCAGCTTTCAATGACCTTTCTATTTAAGTATAAAACACCTATTACTGTGTTGTACTGAAAGATTATTTCTCATTTCCCTTACATTTTTTAATTTCAGAGAATAAAATCTACAAAAGATAACCTTCTTTTTGCAATTACTTTTAAATGTATCTCTATTGTTTAAAATACTAGTGAGAGTGGAAGAAGTTCCTTTCTATGTCATATCTTTAAATTGTCATTTCTGGCCTTGTTTTTGTGAAGTAATTATCCGTTCTAAATCTTCAAGGATACCGACAAGTTTGACAGTTTTATCACATCCAGAGAAGGAATGGTACAGAAATGGCTGAGAACGTGGAAAGGGCCGGATGCCAGAGATTACAAATCCTGTAAATCCACTCTTGCCCCTGAGCTCTGCTCTCCCTGTAAGCCCCATCCAGTCAGGTTTGTCAGGAAACCACTGCCTCTAAATATGAGCACAAGGAACCAGGGATTATATACAGTCTTATGAAGGAGACTTTTGTTATCAAAGTACTGCTGATACTAATCAAGTGAAGAACACTCTTTGACTTGTACAGGCCCTGGAAAATGACTTACCTTTATTACTGTTACCTGTTGCCTTCTTGCCAAAATAATCACAAATGACCCCTGCATCTTCACTGTGGCGGCAGTTATGTCTTCCAATATCTTGTTTGATACAGTCAGCTAGGGACCGCTCATTTCCTGTGCACTTCACATTATCCACATGGATGGGGCCTTTCCCTTCCCCAAAGTAAGCCATGGTTCTTGCTCTGGCAGGGCCCCTGGAAACAGAGCGTTCTTGAGGATGTGGAGAACCAGTCACTCATACATTTTAACACATCACAACATATACTCTCATTCAATTAATTTTAGTATATTAAACTTAGCATCTATGTATGCTAAAAAAAATTTTATTTCATGACTATCAAAAACAAGCTTAAAAGAGATAACTCTACCTTCTTTGTTTTGCTAGCCCACAGTTTCTTTACTGCCCTGGGTGCCTCTAATTTAAGTTTTGCTAAGAAAGTCACATTTAATGGCATGTCAAAAATTAATGATAGTCTTCGACTCTAGTTTTTGTTTTTGTTTTTAATTTCAATTTTTTATTCTTAATTTTTAAAAAATATTTTATTTTTGAGAGAGATTGACAGAGTGTGAGCAGGCAAGGGGTAGAGAGAGAGGGAGACACAGAATCTGAAGGAGGCTCTAGGTTCTGAGCTGTTAGCACAGAGCCCCACACAGGGCTGGAACTCAGGAACCACGAGATCGTGACCTGAGCCAAAATCAGATGCTTAACGAACTGAGCCACCCAGTCACCCCTAATTTCAACTATTTAACATTTTTTTATTTCATTTTTATTCTGTTTTGAGAGAGAGAGAGAGCACGTGCATGATGGGGGAGAGAGGTAGAGAGAGAGAGAGAGAGAGAGAGAGAGAGAGAGAGAGAATCTTAAGCAGACTACACGCTCTGTTTTTTGAGACAGAGAGAGAGAGAGAGAGCACATGATGGGGGAGAGAGGCAGAGAGAGAGAATCTTAAGCAGGTTACATGCTCAATCCCATGATTGGGGTTCAATCCCACAACCCTGTAAGATCATGGCCTGAGCAGAAATCAAGAGTAAGACGCTCAACCAGCTGAGCCACCCAGGCACCCCTTTATTTTATTTTTTATGAGGGGGGAGGGGCTAACGGAGAGGGAGAGAGAATCTTAAGCAGGCTCCAACACCCAGCCCGGAGCCCAAAGTGGGGCTCAATCTCACAACTATGAGGCCATTTTTTTTTTAATAATAAAGTTTATTTATTTGAGAGAGAGATTGAACACATGCACATGGGCAGGGGAGGGACAAAGAGAGAGGGGAGAGAGAGAATCCCAAGCAGGCTCCACGCTGTCAGCACAGAGCCCGATCCAGGGCTCAATCTTGCATAAAATGTGACCTGGGCTGAAACCAAGAGTTGGACACTTAACCCACTGAGTGACCCAGGTGCCCCTTAAACTCTAATTTAAGCAGGAAAAAAAATCATCTCAAAATTTTCTTAAAGAACATAACAGTGCTTTTAAAATTGGTTAAAATTGCTAAGAAAATTATGAGGTTAGATAATAACCCAGGGAACTAAACATTTTAAAGACGACTTTAAAAGTAAAAACATCTGATTTTTAGAGGAGAAAGAGAAAACCAGGAATCACAAATAGAAGGAACATTTACTTTGGTATGTTACTTTTTTGTTGTTTGTTCTTAATTACACAGTACTTCTTTTTAAATATCCAAATATAAAAGCTGAAAGTGAAATATTTCAAACTAACACCACATTCAAAACTCAATTCCTGATAAATAGATGGCAAAATTATGAAAGCAAAGTTTTATTTTGAATTATCCTTACAACTTCAAGTAGGGAAAGATTTATTAAACAAGACACAGATGGTATACTTTAAATTAAAGGACTAATATATTCAATAAAAATTAAGAATGCTACTTTACTAAAAACCACCCTAAGGAAAGTTAAAAGATAAATTAAAAAGTTGATGCATATATTGTATTACATATTCACAAATATATTTGTTGGTGAATCTATCCAATAGAATCGATTCTCATACAAAATAAAAAGAATTCTCAAAATTCATTAAAAAAAGTTTTAAAACCTTAACAACCCAAGAGAAAAACAGGCAAAAGGCAGGTGTCAAATTAAAAGAAACTGACTCATTAAAAATGAGAATTTGGCCCAGATTTCTGACATCAAAACATATTCTACTTAACTAAGGTAAAATTATTATACTTTCCTTATAATTATGCAGGAATCTTAGCAAAGTTTATTGATACAAATCATCTGAGAAATTAATTTGAAAGACCCTCTTCAGCAATGAGAACTGGCCTCACATGCTTGTGGTTGGCAACACATTCACTTCAAAACTGACACAGGGCACCTGGGTGGCTGAGTTGGTTAAGCACCTGATTCTTTATTTCGGCTCAGGTCATGATCTCAAGGTTGTGAGATTGAGCCCCACATCAGGCTCAGCATGGAGTGTGAAGCCTGCTTGAGAGTCTCTCTCTCCCTCTCTCTCTGCCCCTCCCCTGCTTGTGTTTTCTCTCAAAATAAATAAATTAATTAAAAAAGAAAAGAAAAAGAAAAAAACTGATACAGCTAGTAGTAAGTTGTAAAAGATCCCTATGCCCAAACAGATGATTCTTACAGTACTCTTAGAGTAAGTCTTTTTTAATATAAAACTTATTTAATAACTATAGAAGTAATAAATGCTCACTGTATCAAATTTACAAATAAAAATACAAAAATTCCCAACAACACACTGTTAGCATCCGCGTACATTCCCTTCCTGTACATATTTATGGGGAAAAAACTAACTATAATTTTTAGTGGTTAAAAAAATTCATTGTACACATTAGTGTAGTAGATCTCAAACTTCAGAGTACTTAAAAGACCACTTGGGTTGATTCTGAATGAGTGTATCACCAGTGGGACTTAGAAATCTATTTTTTCATAAGCTATAGGTGATTCCTATTCAAGGAGTTCTACATCAAACTTTAACATAGAAAAATTAGAGTTTATTTCCCCACTGCTGCACATTTACTTTTAAAACCCAAGACTTTTTATAATTATATACACACACACACTTTCTTTTTTTCTAAATGTAATTTTATTTTAAATTCCAGTATAGTTAACATACAGTGTTATATTAGTTTGACATCTACAATATCATGATTTCAGTTCCATCACCTGGTGCTTATCCCAAGTGCACTCCTTAATCCCCATCACCTATTTCACCCACCTCCCCTCTGGTAACTATCAGTTTGTTTTCTTTCTTTTTTTTTTTTAATTTCATTTTTTTAAATTTACATCCAAATTAGTTAGCATGTAGTGCAACAATGATTTCAGGAGTAGATTCCCTAATGCCCCTTACCCATTTAGCCCATCCCCCCTCCCACAACCCCTCCAGTAACCCTCTGTTTGTTCTCCTTATTTAAGAGTCTGTTACACACACACACACTCTTAAACAGAAGTTTTTGTGGACAGCTTAGATTTCTTCCCAGAAGTAGTATTTTTGTTCAACAGGTATAAACATTTTTTAAGGTTCTGGATATATACTGCTGAATACAGGGCAAGTCTTTGGGAAGCAAGTTATTCATTTGAAATATGTATAATTAAAATGTGATTATTCAAAGAAAAGTTTTTCTGCTTTATTTTGTGCATCATAGTTCTGATCTATCTGGAATTTATTTCTCCTTAGTGTTAGTATGGGATATAGTTTTATTTTTGTCCCTAAGGTCATTGTCCCAATAACTTTTCCCACTGATTTGAAAGGCTTTTTAAAAAATGTTTTTTAAATGTTTTTATATATTTTAGAGACAGGGAGAGACAGAGCGTGAGTAGGGAAGGGGCAGAGAGAGAGGGAGACACAGAATCCGAAGCAGCCTCCAGGCTCTGAGCTGTCAGCACAGAGTCCGACACTGGGCTCAAACCCATGAGCCATGAGATCATGACCTGAGCTGAAGCCGGCCACTTAATCGATTAAGCTACCCAGGCACCTCTAAAAGTCTTTATAATTTAACATTTATCATGCTTACATGTACATAAGTCATTTTTTGGTCTTTACAATACAGTAATCCCCAACCTTGGCTACACATTAAAATTACCTTTGGAAGCTTTTTTTTTTTTTAATTTTTTTTAATGTTTTATTTTTTTATTTTTGAGACAGAGAGAGACAGAGCATGAGCGGGGTAGGGTGAGAGAGAGAGAGGGAGACACAGAATCTGAAACAGGCTCCAGGCTCTGAGCTGTCAGCACAGAGCCCGACGCAGGGCTCAAACTCACAGAGGGTGCGATCGTGACCTGAGCCGAAGTCGGAAGCTGAACCGACTGAGCCACCCAGGCGCCCCTGGAAGCTTTTATATTATAGCAAAACCTGAACCCCACCTGACATCAATGAAAGTAAAATCCATGGGAATGGGGCTGGTCATGGGTAATATTCTTTTAACTCTCAGTGTGATCTTAGTGTACACCCGAGGTTGATAATCACTGCTGTAGTTAGTATCGTTGACTTCTTGCCTATTCCTGTGCCAGTACCACATGGATTTGATTCCAGATGACTTTTGAAGTCAAGTTCCTCTCCCCACCCCTACCCTCAGCCACACCAAGAAAATAAAAAGATTTTTATAAGGGCAGCATTTAATGAATAGATTAATCTCTATTCTGTCTTCCCATTCAGGATTGTTGTATATCACTTATTAACTTTTCTACCTTTGTAAAGATTTACTTTTTTTCATATAGGTCTCAATTCTTGTGATTATTCCTAGTTAGGTTGTTTTTGGGTTTTTTGTTTGGTTTTTGGGTTTTGTACCCTCTAAATGATCTTTTTTTTCTTTTTATTTTCTACTTAGCTTATAGCAACTATTGCCTTTTAAAAAAATAACACTAGTTCTAGTGTCTTTCCCATTGGTTCTCTTGGGTTTTTTAGTTGGACAATCACATTATTCATGTAACAATTCTGACTTCCTTTTCAATACTGGTATCTCAATGCTTAATTATAGTGGGACTTTCAGATAATACTGAGTCATTGAAGTAATAGCAGGCATGCTTGTTTTGTTCCTGTTTGATGAATGTGATATAAAGGTAAGGTAGTTTTATTTTATCCTAAGCTTCCTAAGAGACATAAGGAAGAAATGGTGATTTTTAACATATAATGTTTTGCCATTATTAGTTGATCATATTTGTTTTAATTTATAGATCATACACTGAAATACATTAATTGAATGCCTCACTTTGAACCATTTT